CCTAGCTCTTCCCCATGCGAGTCACCAGTCATTTTATTGTCGAAGAAAGATGGAGGGTAGCGCATGTGTATCAATTATAGAGCCTTGACCCACATTACTATGAAAAATTCATAGCTTTTACCTCACATCGATGATCTAATTGATCAAATGCAGCCGGCATGATACTTCACCAAACTCGATTTGAAGTCGGGTTGTCATCAGGTTCGGGTTAAGGAGGAAGATCCTTAGAGATGACGTTTAGGACTAGACAAGGACTATTTGAGTGGATAGTGATGGCATTCAGTTTATGCAATGCCTTTGCTATTTTCATGAGACTGACGAACGAGATACTCCATTCTTTCTTAGAGGGCTTTATCATTGTGTATTTAGATGATATCACGATGTAGAGTCAAAGTTGAGAGGAGCATATTCTATATATCATAAATGTGTTAGAGGTGTTGAAGCAATGATGACTTTTCTTGAATAAGAAAAAGTGCGAGTTTGAACAATCAGTATTGGTTTACCTTTGTTTTATTATAGGAAGCGGATATTTGAAGGTTGATCCATCAGAAGTGGAGGTGATTCGGAAGTGGCCTACACCAAAAAAAGTAACTAAGGTTCAAAGCTTTCTTGGAGCATATCAGTATTTGAGGAAGTTCATATGACACTTTTTGCATATCGCTTCGCAGCTCCATTGCATGCATGCAAAAAGACGACCCAAAGGTTTGAGTGGACAAAGAAAAATGACGTTACTTTTAATCTACTCAAGAAAATGACATGTGAAGCGCCTGTATTGGCTTTACCCAGTTTATAGAGACCGTTTGAGGTTGAAGCTGATGCATCAAGATATGTGATGGGGGTTGTTTTGACATAAGATGGGAAACCCGTGGCTTACCATAGTGAGATGATTCATGGGCCATTAGTAAATTATCCAATCTATGATAAAGATCTTTATGCATTGCACCAATCGGTTAAATATTAGAGGCCATATTTTTTAGGGAGAGAGACGATCGTTCACGCCAACAATCAATCACTACAGTACCTCAATCGCAATCTAAGTTGCAACAAGCTTGTCATATGAAGATGTCCTATTTACAGTAGTTTCGTTTGTTGGTGGAATACAAAAAAGGAGGCAAATAACAAGTTGGCAGACATGTTGTCAAGACCGTCACAAGGAGGAAAATCTTTGTTAGTTGCCTTCAAAATCCAACCTCTATGTTATGATGAGTATGCATCTCTATATGAGGGAGATGATTACTTGGGGCTAGAGATAGAAAAGCTGAAATCAGGAAAAATCATTGAGTTCCTATTGAAGGAGGGACTGTTATATAAAGGAGAGCAATTAAGGAATCTCTATGTTATGATGAGTATGCATCTCTATATGAGGGAGATGATGACTTGGGGCTAGAGATAGAAATGATAAAATTAGGAAAAACCACTAAGTTCCTTTTGAAATAAGGACTGTTATATAAAGGAGAGCAATTAAGGAGAGCAATTATGTGTTCCATGTGAAGCAGACAGAACTGACATACATCTAAGATAGTAGGATATTTTGATGCGAAGAAGGCTCTTCTGAATCTGAGGCAATATGTTTATTGGCTGAGTATGCAACATGATGTAACTCATTATATTCAAGGATGTGTGCTATGTTGTACTTCAAAGCTAGGTAATCAAAAGATTGGACTTGATACGTCTTACTAGTGCCAAGCCGACCGTATAACTATGAACTTTGTAGGGGGTTTACCGAAGACCAAGTCTGGGCACAACTACTTGTTTGTGATAGTAGATCAATTCAGCAAGATGGTTATCTTCCTTGTAGAAAATCGATTTCGGGAGAGGAAGCCGCAAAGCTATATTTTAAGTTTAAATGGATTCATTTTGGACTTCTTTTTATTATTTTTGACAGTGATAGTCAATTTCTTAGTGTATTGTGCAGAGCATACGGGCTATGATGCACACTCCACTGAATTGAAGTACCACTTTTCATCCAAAGACGGATGGACGGACATAAGTTATTAATTGAGCTATAGTGCATATGCTAAGAGGCTATAATTCTAAGCACCCAAAGACTTGGGATAATAGTATTCCTCATCTTTAGGTTCCCTTCAATAGAGCCGTACATAGTTCCACAAAGAAGTCTCCATTTGAAGCTTGCTTGGGTTGTTTATCACAGTCCCTTCGATCTTGAGTTTTCAATGACTTCAAAGGAGCTAACAAAGAACAATGAGAATGAGCAGTTTAGAACACACCGCTTCCTAGAGCGTATTCAGAAAGTGTACGAGAAGATTGAAGCGCAATTGCAACGATCTTAACAGAGGTATAAAGATTGATATGACAAGTATCAAGTTAAATTAGAATTCAAAGTGGGTGATTTAGTTTGGTTCCAACTAAACAAGGAGAGGTTAAAAGGTGAAGGAAAGAAAATCAAACCTATTTGATATGGTCCATTTAAAATCTTGAAATAGCATGGAGACAATGCTCATCAACTTGAGTTGACTACATATATGTAGATTTACTGTGTCATGAATGCTGAAAATTTGATGCCACTAGAGCCTTCCATGTTAGATGAGGAGGATGAACATGATGTTGTGATTTCACCATATGATGTATTCATTGAGAAGGAGGCGCCGCTTAAGGATGAATGTGTTATGGAGCAGAAAGTTCGTGCAACAAGATAAGGGAAAATCATGACCTATCATACTTGACGAAAAGTTCAACAACCAAGCCGAGCGAAATGGTATAGTCAGAAGAAAGAAATGCATGAGTTTCTCCACTAGAAGTTCTTAGCTCACCGGGCTTCGGTCTTCCAAAACGGGAGAGTATTGATCAAGGAGGATCCTTCTATTCGAGTAAGGAGACTGAAATTGTAGCATCTTCTAAAGTCTTATTACATCTAGGAGTATTGAGACCTATTTGCATTAGGAGTATAAGTTCTATTGTAATTAGTATGAGTCCTATTATAAGTAGGAGTATTGAGTCCTACTATAGCTAGAAGTATGAGTCCTATTTGTAATTGGAGTATGAGTCCTATTGTAATTAGGAGCATGAGTCCTCTTGTGGTTAGGAGCATGAGTCCTCTTGTGGTTAGAAGTCGGTAGGATCTGAATTACATATGATTCATGTCTTGATTATGAGTTTGTAATTCCAAACTTAAAAGGAGTTCTAATTGATTAGGAGTTGTAGCCTTATTCACATTGGGTGTTGTTTAAATAGAAATTCTGCAAGAGAATTCTACTTAAATAGTAATTCCTATTCATATAGTAACTCTATTCAGAATGTTATTCATATTTGAGATCTCTATTTAAGGAGATGAATTGTATTTTGTAAATCAAGTTAGTTGAGAAATTATATAAGTAAACCTTAGGAGTAGAGCATTGCTCGCTCCACCAAAAATCTATATTTGTATTTTATTCTTGCACTTGTCCCTTCTACCTTCTATTCTTTTCTATCAGATACATTGGGTGGATCAAAAAGTCTATAAGTTGTGACAAAAAGGCTACTCTGGTCACATGTACCATCTTTTGATGGTGAAAATTAAGGGATATTGCATATATAGCCCTCAAATCTCCTACATTTTTAGATTTATTTCTCAAGTTTTGATATTTGTAAAAAATCCCACATCTCTCTCAGCTCCCCCACCCGAATCTCCAATCCCCAACCTCTGCTCTCTCCCACTTCCTTTCCCTCTCACAGATCCTCACTCTCACCTTCTCTCCCCTTTTCTCTAACCCACCCATCTTATCAACTTCTTCAACTTCCCTCTCCATTTCCCCTCCCTCTCCTCTCCTCTCTTTTCCCTCTCCTCCGCTCCCTCCTTCGCTTCAAGGTGAATGTCTGTTTGATGTTGGGTCTGAGAGAGGAAGAGGAGGAGGTTGGGTTTTTTATGATTAATGGGTGGAGAGGGAGTGAGCGGGAAAAGGGGATGAGAGAGGGAGGGAAGGAGAGAGAATTGGTTCTTTTTTTCAATTATAAGACTTTGGGAAGGGGAAATCTGTAAATATGGGAGATTTGGGGGGGGGGGGGGAT